AAAACTCGGCATCAAATTCGGTGATGGGATTGAGAGGTGATGGTGGTTTTGGCTTTTGGTGGCAGCCAATTTTGACCAACAATCTCCCACTTGAAGACTGATTTCAATCTGTCTTCACATTTCGATCTATACAACTCTTTTCCTGGTCTTAAATTATTGCAGGCCAACTGAAGCTGAACAAAGCTTCAGTTTGTCAGCATGTCTGTCGGATTTTGAGCTCCGCTGATCTTTTCAAGTTTTAAAATTCCATCTTCCAGAAGTGATCGGATAAAATGATATTGCATCTGTATGTGCTTCGTTCTGAAATGAAAAGACGAATTCTTCGCTAGATGAATAGCACTTTGACTGTCGCAATATAAGACATTGTCTTCTTGTTTTTTGCCTAACTCATCCAAGAAATTTTGAAGCCAAACCATTTCCTTGCTGGCTTCTGTAACGATGACATATTTTGCTTCAGTTGTGGAGAGAGCAACTATTTTTTGCAGTTGAGAAACTCAACTCACTGTAGTACCTCCTAGAGTATAGATATACCTTGTAGGGCTCTTTCTGATATCAACATTTTCTGCTAAATCAACATCCACATAACCTGTTAGTATTGTATCTTCACCTTTGAAATAAAGTGTTTTACCTGTGGTGCCTCGTAGATATCTAAGGATCCATTTGATTGCTTCCTAATGCATCTTGCCCGGATTATTCATGTACCTGCTAACAACTCTCACTGCTTGAGCAATATCAGGTCTTGTACGAATCATAGCTAATCAGACTTCCAAATTGCTGAGGCGTACGGGACCTTCGCCATGTGTGCACGCTCTTCTTCTGTCTTTGGTGACTATTCTTTGGAAAGTCTGAAAACTGTTCTTTGGAAAGTCTGAAATGAACACCTAAAGGTACACTGTGTACTCATTGGTTTAACATCTTTCATATTGAACCTGGAGAGTACTTTGTTGATGTACTCAGCCTGTGATAACATCAAAGTCTCTGACTTCGTGTCTCTCTTGATCTTCATTCCAAGAATCTGCTTTGCGGCTCCAAGATCTTTTATTGCGAACTGCTTTGATAATTTCTGCTTCAAATTTATAATCTCTTGCAGATCTGATCCTGCAACGAGCATGTCATCAACGTATAACAATAAAATAATGAAGCTATTGTCAAACCTCTTGAGATAGCAACAATGATCTGCTTGGCATCTAGTGAAATCGTTGTTGCCCATAAAACTGTCAAACTTTTTGTACCACTGTCTGAGAGCTTGTTTTAATCGATACAAGCTCTTCTTCAAACGACATACTAGAATTTCCTTGTCTGTCTTTATGAAGCCTTCTGGTTGCTTCATATAAATATCCTCCTGCAAATCACCATGAAGGAAAGTTGTTTTTACATCTAATTGCTCAAGATGTAAATTCTCAGCAACTATAATTTTCAACACCAGTCTGATGGTAGTCTGTTTCACGACCTGAGAGAAAATTTCATTGTAGTCAATATCTTCATTTTGCTGAAAGCCTTTTACAACCAATTTTGCTTTGTAGCGCTTGTTCCCATCATGTTCTTCTTTGATCCTGTAAATCCACTTGTTATGAAGAGCTTTCTTACCTGTGGGTAATTCAGCTAAGTCCCACGTCTGATTTGACATGAGCGAGTCTATCTCATCTTGCATAGCAGACTCCCACTTGACTGAATCCTTCACGTGCATTGCTTCATCATAACACTTCGGTTCACCACTATCAGTCAGCAACAAGTAGTGCAAAGAAGGCGAATAACGTTGGGTTGGCTTAGGAATTCTGGGCTACTTGATTCTGTAGTTGATCTGTCTTTATACATCACATCCTTATTGAATATGACATCTCTGCTTCTGATGATCTTCCGATTTTCATAATCCTAAAACCGGTAACCGAACTCATTACTACCATAACCAATAAAAACACATTTGTTATCACCACCATAACCAATAAAAACACATTTGTTAGATTTGGCATCAAGTTTACTTCTTTCAGCAGAATCTATGTGTACATAAGAGATACAACCAAAAATTCTTAAATGCGAAAGGTTTACCTCTTCTACTCCAAGCTTCTTTCGGTATTCCACCATCCAAGGTAGCTGAGGGCCCGCGATTGATTAGGTAGGCTGCGGTATTGATAGCTTCAGCCCATAGGAACTTGGGCAAGTCGGCATGTATCCTCATGCTTCTGGCACGTTCATTCAAAGTTCTGTTCATGCGCTCCGCTACGCCATTTTGCTGCGGTGTCATGGGAACAATTTTCTCCATCTTGATCCCGTTTTTTGCACAAAATTCTTTGAATCTACTGTCTTTGTACTCTCCTCCGTTGTCTGACCTCAACCGTTTTATCTTCAAACCAGTTTTATTTTTCACCATGGTCTTCCATTTTCTGAAGGTATCAAAGACTTCTGATTTATTCTTCAGAAAATAGACCCATACCTTGTAGAATCATCAATGAAAGTGACATAGTACAATGAGCCTGTAAGAGATGAAACCGGAGATGGCTCCCATACGTCGGTATGAACCAATTCTAACTTCCTGTCTTGGGTGTCTTGCCAATCTTTGTAAAACTGACTTTCTTCTGTTTGTCAAAGATGCAATCCTCGCATAGGCCCGCATAGGCCGACATCTACATTCTTCAGATCCGACAGCTTCTCTTTTGACAGAAGTGTCTTCATCCCTTTCTCGTTCATATGGCCAAGCCTTTGGTGTCATAGGTTTGATTTTTTATCTGCATCTGTTACTGTAATGATATTCTCTAAGTTAGAGGTTACATAGAGAGTACCAATTTTCTTACCTCGAGCAATGACGAGTGCTCCTTTGGTAATCTTCCATTCATGATCTGAGAAGGTTGTACAGTAACCCTCTCCATCAAGCTGTCCCACGGAGATCAAATTTCTTTTAAGGCCAGGAATATGTCTCACTCCTTGCAGCTTTCATGTGGTCTGATTTGGCAATTTTAATCGGATGTCTCCCTTTCCAACGATCTTTAAGGCTTCATCATCTGCTAGATGTACCTTTTCAAAATCACCGCTGACGTAGTTCTTCATGATTTTTCGGCAAAGGGTGGCATGGTAGGATGCTCCTGAATCAAGAATCCATGATTCAATCGGACTGTTGACGTTTAGAATCATAGCATCACCTCCTTGCTCGGTCACGTTGGCAGACTCCTGTGCAGCGGTATTTTTCTTCGATGCCCGACGCTCCCTCTTGAAATGACCCTTCTTACCATAATTGTAGAACTTGAAATCTTTTTTCCCGATCTAGATTTGCTTGTTCTAGATTTTGATCTGCCATGATTTGAACTTCTTTCTGAAGTTCTTCCTTTAAACTCCGCGTGTAAAGCTGAGGAGGTTGAAGCTTCACCTGATTCTCTCTGTCGGATCTCTTCACTGAGAACCAGATCACGAACGTCATCGAACCCGTGATTTGAACATCTTTCTGAAGTTCTTCCCTTAGACTCCATGTGTAAAGCTGAGGAGGTTGAAGCTTCGTCCGATTCTCTCTGTCGGATCTCTTCACTGAGAACCAGATCACGAATGTCATCGAACTTCAACTTGTTGCTTCCCGATGAGCTACTCACAGCCGTGACTGTAGCGTTTCAGTTTTCTGGTAGGGAAGACAAAAGGATCAACGCTCGAACTTCCTCATCAAATTCAATCCCAACTGAACTCAACTGGGTTGTGACTATGTTGAGTTTATTAAGATGTTGAGCTATCGATGCACCTTCCGTCATTCGTAAATTGAATAGCCGCCTCATCAAGTGAATTTTGTTTGAGACAGAGGGCTTCTCATACATGCTGCAGAGAGCCGCGATAACTCCAAGGGTTTGTCTGTTGAGAAGAGCCCACTCTTCATCCTTCATGTCATCTGGTTTACTTTCTGAGAGAGGTTGATACAGCTTCTTCTGGTACAGATAATGTTCGATCTGCATCTTTCAAAAACCGAAGTCCGCACCATCGAACTTCACAATTTTCATCTTCCCTTCATCTGCAGTCATCGCTCCCACTCGAATCTGGCTTCCTCTAGATTGTTTTTGACAATTTCTGCGAACCACCGTGTATTAGAACACTTCTGTCAACGAACAAGTATCGACGACAAAATTTTACTATTCACGAAATTTACTATTCACGTGAATAGTAATCTCGCAGAAAAATTGACAGAAGTCACAACCAGAGCTCTGATACCAGTTTGGAGAGCGGTTAATGAACTCAACAAGTGAACTTGGATAACAAGTTTGGAGAGCCTATTAATTGAGGTGCATGAGCTCTGAGAAAGAGTTTTGACAATAAACAGGCCCGAACAAATCTCTAGGGGCTTGATAGCTCATCCACATTTAGAGTTGTTGGTAGGTGCAGACCAGTCAACACAACTAGGCATTTTGGACTTGGAATTCTTGCGTGGAAGTAGGCAGCATACTCTTAAGACTGTCAACTAGTATTTGGTAGACATGGACAGTTGAATCAAAGAATTAATGAGAAACAAATGGAACTTGAAATTTTGAGACTGTTAACTAGTATTTGGTAGACATGGACAGTTGAATCAAAGAATTAATGAGAAACAAATGGAACTTGAAATTTTGAGAATAAGTCAGGGTCCCGGTTGTTGACTCGTTATTGAAAAGGCCTTGAATCATTTGTTTGGTTGGTTCCTATGGAGGTTTGATCATCTTAATATATTTTCCCTAATGAGCTTCTGGTTTATTATTAGCAGTCTATCAATTCTTTAACATAATTCTATGTAAGCCAGCCAGCGTCGAATTGTTTTGAGTTAATACTTTGAAGACTTTTTTGGCACCTGGTTATCAATTCTTTTGGCCAAAAATACCTTATAGAATTGTTACCAAACGATGTGCCTACATGTTTTGTTAACTAGTAGTATCTGTATCCGCTCTTTTTTGAATTCATATCATGTTTCTATATTTGGACCATTAGCTTATTAATTGTTTTTCCGCTTGACAAAACAACTTGAAGTTAATTGATACTATTCTGTTGATGATATTAAACAGGCTGTCGGCAAGGTGCTCCCTGCTTTGAATGGAAAGCTGACTGGTATGGCTTTCCGTGTACCCACTGTGGACGTGTCAGTTGTTGATCTCACTGTCAGGTTAGAGAAGGCTGCCACCTATGATCAGATCAAGGCTGCTATCAAGTAAGTAATGTTGACTTTTGTTCTCCATGTTTGATGCACATAATTTTCGCAAGGTTCTTTACTTTTATGACACAGTTATTTTATAAAAACAGGGTCTTTTTTATGTTGACCGTTTATTTATTTGCAGGGAAGAGTCGGAAACCAATCTCAAGGGAATCTTAGGTTACGTTGAAGAAGACTTGGTGTCTACAGACTTTATCGGCGACAGCAGGTATGCATGCTATAAATTGTTGGTGCATCACCCAGGTTCTTTATGTTTTATGTTTTTATGTATACGGAAAATTTATTTTGCAGGTCAAGCATCTTTGATGCCAAGGCTGGAATTGCCTTGAACGATAACTTTGTGAAGCTTGTCGCTTGGTATGATAACGAGTGGGGATACAGGTAAAAATTTTCATTGAAATGGAGTATTAGTTTGTTCCCACATTGATAATATGTGCTTTGAGCTTTTACTAATAGTACTTCACACTAATTGATTTGCTCGTTTATTTTGTTTTGCAGCACAAGGGTTGTTGATTTAATCACCTACATGGCCAGCGTTCAGTAACGCGGCCCTTTTCCTTACCTCGGCAACCGTAATGAGTGTGTTTGAAGTTTTGAGAATAAATGACCGATGACTAGGTATGTCGTCTTCGTCGTGTATATTAAGAATGGGTATCAGATACCCACTTGTTCCGTTTTAACTTTTAGTACATCGGCTGAAAACCGCCGATAAGGATGTATTTGGCTGAACAATAAATGGTTTTCTTGGTAATATTGGGTTTATGCGTGTTTCTGCTGGAGACCTTTTTCCTAGATATGCTGTTTACTATGTTGTAGCCAGAGATCTGATGACAGCCAGGTTTTTATGGGAGATCTGATGACAGCCAGGTTTTTATGGTGCACGCGCGAAGTTGCCATTGATACCCGACATGATTTAGAAACGTAGTTGATGTATAATATTGCTGACAGTCTGATGAAGTCTCTGTTGGGAGAGCAAGTAAATCTTAGGCCGTATGGAATCGAGGTACATTTTTTTTTCTTCCTACTGCTTTTGATCAGATGAAAAAGCTTTGAACTGTTCTGGGCTATACCTTTTGCTTGCGATAATAAGTGCAAATATACCAGGAGCTAAGTGCAAATACCGCTAGAGCTAGACAAAGTATATATGTAGGATATGACTCGGTGTAGGCTTAGCTTGCAAATGTAGAGAGCATGGTTCCAAGCGTAGTGATCATGATGCAGGGCGCAGGATAAAAATCTAATGATAATATGGCTAACGGTGAAAGTCTATTTAACATATTTCTACACATGCTTCCGCTTGGAAGGATGATGATGCAACTGCGTTGGTTCTCGGCCACACGAGGGCCACGATCATGAGGGAGCATACGGAGGAGGGTGGTGTCAAGTGACGCTACCTTAAATCATCATACAAATAAATTAAGTATATATGAACTTCCCCAATAAAGTAACACCTCCAAACTATTTAAACCCATTAACTTTTAATGGGCTAAGCCTAAAAGTAAAGTGATCCTAAAACTCATTCGATTAAATGGACTAATTCACAACATATCAAAGAGCTACCCGTCAATGTTGACAAAAAAGAAATTAAAAAGGAAAAGAATTTAAAAGATGTTTAATAACTTTACACTAAAGAGGATGTGTTAAGTGGTATTTTGAACGTTTGCTATTTTGCTAGTGATTTTTAAACATGAAGACACGTGGGGGAGGTCAATTGTAATAATATCTAGTTAAATATCTTTTGCGTCTCATTAAAAATCTCGATTATACTGAACGTGAGAAAAATTAGTAATGTATCTTTTTATACTGCATGTGAGAGAAAAATTAGTAATTTCACACGCGCACGCACACACATAGACATAGGGAAGTATAATTCTAAGGAGCAACCCTAGATTGAATACAAGGATGTACGTCTCAATGGACGATCCGCTCCATTCATCATGATTTAAATGCCTTCAAAATATCTATAAAATAAAAATTTATGTCTAATACATATTTTTTTTATTATATTTTTAGTTGTGTTAGCGTAAAACTGTTAATTTTACTATTACTTAATGCATTAGTAACTATAATCCAAGATACCTAATTTTTAATTTATATGTCATCCAAAACATTTAGATCAAAATAAACGAAGTGGATCAAGTAACTTAATTGCGTATAATATAATATTAAAGGTTCATCCTTAAATTCAATCTAAAGT